TCACAAGACCCAAGGAGGCTTTACATATGTCTTTGAGTACAAAACAGAAGAGAAAAGAAAAAAGTAATTGTACAAAACACGATAGAAATAAGCAGGAGGGTGGAGCATTAACTGAGGTCAAAGGCCTTAGTGAAGAAGTGGTGCTTGAGAAGTTTTTTGAAGATGTTGAGAGATTCTGCGTCACGTATTTCGGCAGGGGGTGAGTTACAGCTTTCTGAGCGGAGTGTAGGGGTGGAGGAGGTCAGTTAAATATAGTGGGGCTAGGACGTGGAGGGATTTATAGGTTAGAAGGAGGATTTTGTATTTAATATGGGGGTTTATCGGGAGCCAGTGGAGATGAATGAGGGTCAGGATGATGTGCTGCCAGGGCTTAGTGTGGGTGAGAACCCTGGCAGCAGTGTTCTGTACATATTGGAGTTGTTTCAGGATGTTGTCAGGTACACCAGACAGGACTTCATTACAGTAGTCCAGGTGATCAAAGCACGAGTGAGGGTTTCTGCTATTTTCTGGCCCCATTTGACCCAAGAACACATTTGTATCTTCATTGCTTTTTATTGCATATTTTGCTGCATCTAAGTGCCACTAGAGAATCGAGTCAAGATGTTTTTAGTTTAATTATGTGTCTGAACTATCATCAGCCTGGAATTGTCTAACATATCAACTGTGCAAATAAAGACGGATGTGCAAGTTACCACCAGATGTTTTTTTTTTTGGTTATTGTTATGTTTCTCCATGACAACACTTTGTATAAACATCCACATTTCTTACACAGTATAAGTGGTGAGATAGATTCTATCTTTGTCCTTATCTCAAGTGCATGTGGCAAGCCATTAATTCAATGCAGGACTACACAATGAAAATTAATACTATTTTCATCACTCTGTGCATACCTTACATTCTCTTTAACACAAACAATAGTGGCTGGCAATCGTAGGATAACACGATAAGACACATGGTCCATAATTATGAAAATATCACCATACAGCGATTCTGCGATAGATAACATATTGCAAGACAATCAAATAGCAATACATCACAATCCCTTTCACTGTCTAACTGAAGAACACAAAATACCCCTAAAGAAGAATAGTGCAGGATTTGTGTATTTATTCACTGAAATCAGTTACACAGACACAAACAGTGGTGAAACAATGATTAAAATACACACTTGTCAATGTCATTGTGCCATAAATAAGTAAATAATGATATTTGGCATCAGTATACCTCAGGACAACAATATATTGCCATGTCCCACCCTCAATAAACAATAACAAAGTAAATCTAATTGACCAAAAAAACTGTTTTCATCAACAAAATATTTGTTTCTGGCTGCTAAATGCTCCATTATGGTGGTTGCTAACTGTATCTGTCTGTCGTTTAGTGCTATGCAGGTGGGTTACAGGACAAATGGGCTAAGTATTTTCCTAAGATGGCTACTATAGCTGTTCTTTGAATATGCTTACACAATGGTAAGGCAACTAAATGAGATTTTCTAAGTCTCTACCAGAGTTGTTGGATCCCTAGCTGCTCTTATATTTGACACATGATGACAAAGTGGTTCAGTGTTGCAAATGTCTTGATTCCTGGGAATTGCTGGAGAAGGGATTATATTTTGCAATGTATGAGGCGGTATTAAAAGTTAAGACACTAAGATAAGCTGAGCACCGTCTAGCATTTGGAGTCTGAGCTGCTAAAATGTGTAGATCAGGGTCATGCTCCGAAGGACTAATGTCATGTTCAAGCTCAATGTACTGACGTACTTCTTCAATAAACCGAGTTTGAATTACATAATAGCAAATGTTGTCAGCAGAGCATGTTATTCAAAACACTTTCCTTTTCACTCCAAATGAAAATGTTTCACTTTTGATTCAAAGTGTAAAACAAATGAGTCAGGAAAAACAATAGTGTAATACAGGGCAGTGGAAAGTAAGAAAGTAATTCAGTCCAGATCAAACCTTTCCAATGAACCTTTTGTTCCTATATTCATAATATAGGCAGGTTTACTCCCTATTCTGATCCTGCATGTGATTTAAAAAGGCTTTGCCACGTGTCCACAGAGTGTAATCATGTCGCTCATGGAACGACCCAGACATGACCCGCAAAGCTACCAATGGCACCGAAATCCACTACCAGAAGCTTTTATAACAGCGAAGGGAGAGAGAGTGAGAGGGAGGGGGAAAGAGCGTGAGAGATTCTGTAAATGCTTTTGCACCCATCCACCCACATTCGACATTTTTCTAATCAGTTAAATGCCCGTGTTTTTTCCCTTAACAGAAATTTGAGGTGGTATCTTATAACAAATGGGAATTTGGATAATTACACAGAATGTAACTGAAACACAAAGGAGCTTGCACTGTAGTCTGGACAAAGTCAAAGAAACTGCATGATATTTAATTATTGTGTTTGTGTGGGAGAGGTGAGACATTATCTCCTCTTCAACAATTTCTATTGTGTCTGCCATTGTCTGCTGGCTGATGCACCACAGATAATACGATTAAAGGTTTATTCGGGACAAAAGCCTCTTATGATGATGTGGTTGTTGTCCAAAAAAGCCTACCACAATGATAATGTTCCCTCCTCCGAAAACCACCATTCTCCGACACAGACAAATGAGCTAACACACCCCAGTGAAAGCAAAGGCAGAGTAGTTCTCTTTCCATGAGTAATGATGAAGACTCAACACACACCACCACTGGTATTGATGCTTCTCTTAAGTACCCTCTCTGCCAACTCATCATTCCAGCCCGCCCTGGTGTTAGAAATGGCCAAGATTCTGCTGGAAAACTACTGCTTTCCAGAGAACCTGGTTGGGATGCAGGAGGCTATCCAACAAGCAATTAACAGCGGAGAAATCCTGCGGATTTCAGATAGGAAGACCCTTGCAGCTGTGCTCACAGTCGGAGTACAAGGAGCACTGAATGACCCACGGCTGACTGTGTCTTACGAGCCTAATTTCATCCCAGTGATGCCCCCGATACTGCCATCTCTCCCCAGAGAACAACTGATCCGGCTGGTGAGGAACTCTGTAAAGGTGGATATCCTGGAAAACAACATTGGCTATTTGCGGATGGATCGGATCATTGGGGAGGAGACTGCGTCAAAGCTTGGTTCCCTGCTGACGGACAACATCTGGGAAAAAGTTGCTCACACATCCTCTCTGATTTTTGATTTGAGGTATAGCACAGCTGGACAAATGTCTGGAGTTCCCTTTATAATCTCCTATTTCTCTGACCCTGAGCCCATCTTTCATATAGACACTGTGTATGACAGGCCCTCAAATACAACCACGGAGCTGTGGACCATGCCATCAATTAAGGGAGAGAGGTATGGAAAGGAGAAAGATGTGATTATTTTGATTAGCAAACGTACCATTGGGGCTGCTGAGGCAGTGGCATACACATTAAAAAACCTAAAGAGGGCTATCACCGTTGGAGAGCGATCTGCTGGTGGGTCAGTAAAAGTCAGAAAGATAAGGATTGGAGGATCAGAGTTCTACATAACAGTTCCTGTGGCAAGATCTTTCAGTCCAATCACAGGCCAGAGCTGGGAGGTCAGTGGCATTCCCCCAACAGTCAGCGTCATTGCAAAGGAAGCTGTCCCAAAAGCAAAGTCCCTTCTGGCTGTGAGGAGTACCATTCCACAAGTTGTTCAGAGCATCTCCAACATAATCAGGAAGTTGTATGCTTTCACAGATCGAGTCCCAGCTCTTCTTCAACATCTGCAAACTATGGACTTTTTCTTCGTCATATCTGAGGAAGATCTGGCAATCAGACTTAACCAGGACCTCCAGACTGTGTCAGAGGATCCACGACTGATCATCAAATACATGCAAGACAATGCTGCCATTGTAGAGGAGGACCCTGAGCTTTACAAAGTCCCTGAGGATTTAGAATTATTAAAAGCACTGATTGAGACAACGTTTAAAATTGAAATTCTCCAGGGCAATACTGGCTATTTACGCTTTGACAAGTTTGTTGAGTTTTCCCCACTGATTCAATTTGAGGAGTTCTTTGCTAAAAAGGTGTGGGAGCCCTTAAAAGACACCAGTAACCTGATTATTGACCTACGCTATAATACTGGTGGATGCACTACCTCTCTAGCTCTCATTCTGTCATATCTGTATGACACTTCCCAGAAGCATCACTTTTTCACAATATATGACCGAATTCAGAACACAACAACAGCACATAACTCCTACCCTCAAATTACAGGTCCCAGCTATGGATCCAAACGTGGGGTTTATGTGTTGACCAGCTACTACACAGCAAGTGTTGGTGAAGAGTTTGCTTATCTAATACAATCCCTTCATCGTGGCGCAGTCATTGGGGAAATTACATCTGGTACCCTAATGCACTCACAGATGTTTCAAATAGAAGGGACAGGCCTTGCCATCACTGTGCCTGTCATAAACTTTATTGACAACAATGGTGAATGCTGGCTGGGAGGTGGTGTGGTCCCTGATGCCATTGTACTGGCTGAGGAAGGTGTAGATCACTTTCATGAGGTTGCAGATTTTCATCAGGGGCTCAGGTCCCTAATGGAGGTAATTGGGGAACTGCTAGAAAAACACTATGCCATCCATGAAGTTGCCCTACAGGTCAGTAAGGTGCTGATGAGCAAATGGGCTGAGGGACTATACTGGTCAGTGGTAGATTTTGAATCTCTTGCATCTCAATTGACCTCAGACCTTCAAGAGGCTTCAGGTGATCACCGCCTCCATGTCTTCCATTGCGATGTTGAGCCTGAGACTGTTCATGACGTCGGAAAGATCCCCACAGCAGAGGAAGTGGGATACATAATTGACGCTTTGTTTAAAATTGAACTTTTGCCAGGTAACGTTGGCTATCTAAGATTTGACATGATGGCGGACATAGAGGTGTTAAAAGCCATTGGCACACAGCTAATAAAATTAGTGTGGAGTAATGTAGTAAACACAGATGCCCTCATAATTGACATGAGATACAACACTGGTGGTTATTCAGCAACAATTCCCCTTCTGTGCACCTATTTCTTCAACATAGAACCTCTGCAGCATCTTTACACCATCTTTGACCGCACCACGACCACCATGACAGAGGTCATGACATTGTCCCAGGTCAGGGGTCAACGGTATGGGTCCTCCAAGGATGTCTACATCCTCACCAGTCACATGACTGGGTCCGCAGCTGAAGTGTTTACTCGCACTATGAAGGACCTAAACAGGGCCACAATCATTGGAGAGCCAACCATTGGAGGGTCTCTATCAAGTGGAACGTATCAGATAGGGAACAGCACCTTGTACGCTTCCATTCCCAACCAGGTTGTTCTGAGCGCCATCACTGGGAAAGTGTGGAGTGTTTCAGGGGTTGAGCCTCATGTTTTTGCCAAGGCAAGTAACGCTCTTCATGTAGCACAGAGACTAATAGAAGCAAAGCTTTTGAAGAAAGAAAATGGTAAATAGCTCATTGTGCTTTATTCTCATTTCCTAACAAATTCCTCAATCACTGACCATAGTCACAGCACACAAAACAGTCTTGTTCTGTATAATCTATCCCTGAGCTGCTTTTCCTGAAAATTAATTGGAGATTCGAGGTTATACCAGAAGAGATATTTGTGCTTTTAGAGATTTACAGTCACAGGGTATGCACTGTTTCAGATGCTTTTTCACAGGAATATCATCATGGAATATTATATATTATATATCAGATTAGTTTAACCATTTGTAGATTCAATATAAAATGTTGGTTCTTCACAAGCTGTATCTGCATTTATATTATTTCCACAAACCTGGCAGCTGTATGTATCCACATTTATTACAATAGTGTATATATCTTATTGGAGGAAGAAACTTACCTAACCTTAATCTACTCATCTACCAATGTATTATCACAACATCAATTTCTTCATAAAGGAAATTCTATTGCACTTTGCTATGTATATGATGTCTATATTATTTATTCAGTAAAGTTGCCTGTCTCTTCTGTTTAGTTATTTTCTCTGTGATTCCCTTTCATTACACATTAAATGCTTTGTTTTAGAAGGTGAATGTTCAGTTCTTTATAAATGAAAAATTATTTGATCATTATGTAAATGCGTGTTAATATGCTTAACATATTAACTTTTTGGGGTTGTTACATTATTTGACATTATTTTCTCTTTTGCTTTGCATTGTGTTTTTCAGCCTGCTTGAATCGATATCTGAGCTGTTCTGTTCTTTAACCACAAAACCAGCAGAGGGAGCAAGCATCAAACAAACCAAAACTAAATATTGCTGTTCTCATTCACACCACTTTTAAAAGTTGGCAACCAAACAACTACTGCAATGAACTGTATAACATCAAAAAAATAAAGAATGTGGAAGTGGAATTTAACTATTTAAATATACTTTCAGTGCAGGAATTAAAAGGAGTGTTTCTTGTGTTGAATAACTCATTGAGCAGCTTGTGCTGAGTTATATGGTAATAACAGTTATTATATAAATATTTTCTTGTGCTTTCATTCACCAGTATGACACAATGCTCACATATTATACTGATATATTATTATGCATAAATGTACTGACACCAAAGGCTTGATAAGCAAACAGTTATTCACCCTAAAAGGATGAATACTTTCACCACCTCCTTTCTTTATAAATGTCTTTTACAGATATGGCCTATTTTCACAAACAAAGCTTTAAAGAGGTATTCAAAATACCTCGTGTAAATTTAAGTCTCACATCTTTGGCAACAAACCTTTGTTTCTACATCTTCCTGGCTAAGTTGTTATTGCCTTGCAGAAGCACTCAGGATAATACGATTAGAGGTTTATTGTGGGCTAAATCCTCTTATGAGTTTGTTAACAGAAACCTTGCAGCCAAAATAATGCCATTTGACAAAGAACCTCTTCGAGGAAGGAGGTCTGGCTCTTCGGCAGCCATTCCCATTTACTTTATTCAACTACACTAAACTGACAAAAATGGCAAGGGCCATCTTTCTGGTGGCATCTCTTTTAGTTATAGGAAATGTTTTTTTTACCCATGCTGCATTTTCCCCAAGCCTTATTGTTGATATAGCAAAGATCATCATGGACAATTACTGCTCACCAGAGAAGCTGACAGGGATGAAGGAGGCAATTGAAACAGCCAACAGCAACACGGAGGTTCTCAACATCCCAGATGCCGAAACCTTGGCTAATGTCCTCAGCTCTGGAGTCCAGACCACAGTCAGTGACCCACGTCTGAAGGTCTCCTACGAGCAAAACTATGTCCCTGCTGTTCCCCCGAAGATGCCTCCCTTGCCTCCCGAGCAGCTCATTGCCGTCCTTCAGACCTCTATCAAGCTTGACATCCTGGAGGGCAACACTGGCTACTTGAGGATTGACCACATCCTTGGGGAAGAGGTCGCTGAAAAAATTGGCTCCTTGCTCCTAGATCTGGTCTGGAATAAAATCCTGCCAACTTCATCTCTCATCTTCGACTTACGCTACACTAGCAGCGGGGACGTCTCCGGAATCCCCTACATTGTGTCTTACTTCACCAAAGCCGAGCCTGTGGTCCACATTGACAGTGTATATGACCGTCCGTCAAACACCACCACTAAGCTGTTCACTATGTCTACACTGTTGGGAGAGAGATACGGTGTTACCAAACCCCTCATTATCCTCACTAGCAAAAACACCAAGGGCATTGCGGAGGATGTAGCCTACTGCCTCAAGAACCTGAAGAGGGCCACCATTGTAGGTGAGAAGACCTCAGGGGGCTCTGTGAAAGTCGATAAAATCAAAGTTGGTGAAACTGACTTCTACGTTACTGTGCCATCTGCAAAGTCCATCAATCCCATCACTGGCTCCACTTGGGAGGTTGCTGGTGTGACCCCTGATGTGGAGGTCAATGCTGAAGACGCCCTCGCTACTGCAATCAAAATCGTCAACCTCCGGGCTAAAGTTCCATCCATCATTGAGGGATCAGCATCCCTGATTGCTGCCAACTATGCCTTTGAGGCTATTGGGGCTAGTGTTGCAGAAAAGTTAAAAGGGCTCCAGGCAAACGGAGAGTACAGCATGGTTGTCTCCAAGGACGGTCTGGAGACTAAGCTGTCTGCTGACCTCATGACCCTTTCTGGGGACAAGAGCCTGAAAACCACCAGCAATACCCCAGCTCTTCCACCTATGGTAGGACCCCTGTTCATGAGATAGGAGAGATTTTTGGTTTAGAAAATAATTATTATTGTCAACTTAACAAATACATATTTTAAATTGTAGTTGCTTTGTTAAGGTGTTCTTTTCCACTTATTGAGCTTACTAGAAAGGATAAAAATACTGTAATAGAATTGAATAAATATAAATATTTTTTAGACAAACATGCTCCAGATTATAGCTCTACTTTCTGCTTGTCTTTCTTGCCAGGATTATTCACCCGAGATGTTCATTGAGCTGATCAAAGTCTCCTTCCACACCGACATATTTGAGAACAACATCGGCTACCTGCGTTTTGATATGTTTGGAGACTTTGAGGAGGTCAAAGCTATCGCCCAAATTATCGTTGAGCATGTGTGGAACAAGGTTGTCAACACTAATGCCATGATCGTCGACCTGAGGTTTGTTGTTCCACTCACAGAGCTTCTGCTCAAAATTGTCCATGCTAATCAGCCCATGACTAAATTTATGTTTTACTACTTAGTTACTCAACTTTATTAGTGCCTGCATCAATGAAAAGTTTACAGAGGTTCATTTAAATTTTTATCAAGAATCTAGGCTCCCTATGACTGTACTTTACCTGTACTTGCAGGAACAACCTCGGTGGCCCAACAACAGCCATCGCTGGTTTCTGTTCTTACTTCTTTGATGCCGACAAGCAGATTGTGCTGGACAAGCTGTACGACAGAAGTTCCGGCACTACCACAGAGCTTCTCTCCTTGTCTGATCTCACTGGTAATTCGTTTTCAAGTCATCTTATTGTACATAATGATTCCTGTTAGCTACAAGCTACTAGCAGGGGAAATCTGTAATCACTAAAGAGTAAGTTAAATCAATCAGGAAATGAAAACATAATTATACCGGGTTAAAGTTATTTTGGGCTTAAATTCATCAGGTGGCCAGAAGCACAACTCTAAGAAAACCTTTGCCTTTTACCAGCTTGCTGTGTATAATAGCAAATGTTTGTCATAAGCAGTTGGCATAAGTGTTGATAGAATATTTCTGTGGCTCTCAGCTAGGACCATAGAAGCATCGTATTTTTTATTTGTGTTTAGGAATCACCCCACAGTCATATTCAATTAAACCCTTTTCACAACCTACAAATCACTTCTCTACTTCATCAACCTCACATTATAACCTCTCTCTACCTTCACCTCATCCACCACCTTAGGCACAAGGTATGGCTCAAAGAAGAGCCTGATCATCCTGACCAGCAAAGCGACTGCCGGCGCCGCTGAGGAGTTCGTGTACATCATGAAAAGGCTTGGCCGCGCTATGATCATTGGAGAGACCACTGCCGGTGCCTCCCACCCACCAAAGACCTTCCAGGTTGGTGAGAGTGACATCTTCCTCAGTATCCCCACTGTCCACTCTGACACTACTGCCGGGCCAGCATGGGAGGGAGCTGGCATCGCCCCTCACATACCCGTCCCAGCTGATGCTGCCCTCGAGACCGCAAAGGGCATCTTCAACAAGCACTTTGGAGAGCAGAAGTAAACCATGCCCTGAACCGGGGTTTCAACAGTCACTTTTGCTTTGGCAGCCAAATGGTTTCAAGATTTAGACTAAGAAGTAAAGAATGTAGACTAAGTACAATGAATGTGTTATGCTATTCAATTTCTCATAAGCTTTGTTAGCCTGTTTGAAAAATAGCACAAAGATTGATCAGTATTTACTAAAGTTGCAATATCAAGACAACTTTCAAAAATGTAATTCTTGAGAAGTCATGCAAAACAGAAGAAACAAGTCAAGTAAACACACAAAATTGTTTATCTTTTCTGGTGAGAAAAGCATATTTGCTAAATGCTGTATATCTGTAATGCAATGAATGTCGTGCCATGTGGACTGTGGTGGTTTCAGATTCGGTGTTGAGACACAATAAACAAAGACAATTCAAATACAAAAAAGTTATGTTGTTTGTTGTTTGTAAGTTGTTATGATTTACCGACTATAAATGCACCTTAAACTTCACTTACAATTACGTGATGGCTGTTCCTTTTCTAATTTCATACAGGATCACATAATCATAACAAAACTGTTACAACACCATGAGCCAACAGCTGGAATGTGAGAATTAAACATTTCTCTTCATTATGCTGCTAAATGATAACATCAGTTCACTTAGGATGTAAAAAAAAATGTAAACAGAGAGACAGACCAGAATGTTTTTGCTGGATACTGTTGTTTCTGTGATGCATTTGGGGTAGTGAAGTCTGGATGACACATTGTTCATCCATCCATTACGACAGCTGACATAGGGACAACTACAGACAGTTTAGTCTACAATACACTACATGTCATTGGACTGTAGTTACATGACGTTGGTAGTCTGGTCGTGATATCTTCTTGTATATTTTGTCTGTTTTGTGTATATGTATTTGTTTGTATTTTGTGTTTACTTGAATAAAATAAAGAATAGTAGTAAGTACTTAAGGGCACTAGTACAACAGAAACCAAAAGATTTGCGACTACACTGAAATGAAAAACATCAACAATCTATTGAGTCAGTAAGAAGAAACTGTTTTTCGAGGGACCACAAACACTGGCTTATTTATCATTGTATATGATTATATACAGTGGTTTGAGGGTTACTTGTGTTATGAATGAGTATATAAATGCATGTAAATGAATATGAGTGGACATGAGGCGTAGGAGTTTGGCTCTGGCAGGCAATTGACTTTCATTTGAAGGATTACACGGGATCTGTTTAGTGTGGGATAAGTGAGTTCACATCAGAATGAGACTTTAAACAGGGGCCAAAGGGTTAAGGGGCATTGTAAGTGTGGACTGCTGCTGTGGCACTTAATCTGTATATCTGCTTGATTTGTTTAGAAGTAGCAGAAAAGCATTTTACAGTTCGATGAGATTAGTATTTACCAATGGAGTGACTCTGGAGAAGGAATAAAAAAAGGGCAACTTAGTTCTGGCTATGATTAATGAAAAAGGCAGAGTGGTGTTTAAAACACACTAACAACAAAAGCAACTCCAGCTGTCACTTAATTTAAAGCCATAGTCGTGTGAAACGTTTGCTTTGAAATGCACTAAAGCTCTGATATGGATGAAAGTACAGAAAACACAGTGAAGCTTTGAAGCAGGTCATATATACAAGCTGATACTTGATACTTCTCACAACATCACAATGAGTATTCACAAGTTTAAAAGAGGGTTGTTCTGAAGACAGAGCTATTCCCTCAGAGAAAAAGACAAGCAGGGCCTTCATCCAGTCAGAGGCAATTCTTGTTGAAAGCGGGTGCTGCCCATTTCCGTTAGAAGCTAATGTTGTGTTTTATTGATTGTTGCTGTGTTTTGATTTGTTGTCTTTTTGTTATTGTGTTTTTTTCATTTGCTGTCGTGTTTTTTGATTCTTTATGGTGTTTTTTTCATTGTTGATGTGTTCTGATTTGCTGTGGTTTTTGAATTGTTGTCGTTTTATGTTTTTTGTTGTGTATTCAAAATTATTCATGTGTTTTCTGACTCGCTTTTGTGTTTCCTTATTTGCTGTTGTGTTTTTTTGTTTTGTGATCTGCTAGTGTGTCATTTGATTTGTTATTGTGTTTTTTGATTTGTAGTTGCTCTGATTTGCAGTTTTAGTGCCTTGTTGTTGTGTCTTATGGATTTGTTGTGCATTTTGAATTGTTGATGTTTTTTGATTTGTTGCGCATTTGGTTTCGTTGTAGATTTGAATTTCTGTTGTTATATTACGTGTTCACTGACTCGCTCTTGTGTTTTCTTATTCATATTATTTGTTCTGTTGTTGTGTTTTTTATGTTCCTTTTTTAATTGTTTGATTTCTTTTGTTATCTCTCTATCATTTTCTAATATGAAGTTGTTTTCTGATAACTTTTCTTTACATCTTTTTTTATTTGTTCTTGTTTGAGCCTCTGTGCCTCCTTCGTAGATCACATCTATAAAACCATGTGTTTAAAGTGAAAAGACAGCTGTATTGGGGCTCAGCAGTGTGAAACAGGGGCAGTGATGTATTCATCCCAAACTTCTCCAGTGTGCCACGTGAGGGCGGCGCATGGGGGGATGTTGACCCATTTTCATTTCCTCTTTCTCACTCTCCTCTCTCTCCTTCCTCCTCAGGATGAAACATGAAACCTGGTCCATTTGAGCCAAGTCTGTCCCCTGGGCTCCCAGCTCCTCCAAATCTGCCCTCAGTCACTTTCTCTTGGCTTTTTCCCTCACACTTAAAAACAGCGTTGACACTTTGTCAGGGAGACACTCCTTTATTTTCTCTTTGGATGTGTTTGTGCGAACAGTGGATTGTGACCCATCTGAAACTGTGTGTCTCTTTTGTTCTGGGCTGTGATGCGGTGTCACTGGTTGTAAACTGAGCGGAGAAAAGAAGAAGCACCGCCTGCAGCTTTTGTCTTTGTCGCATCTCCTCACTGTCTCTGGGATGTAAGAACTCACTAAACTCACTTTTTATTTTTCTTTCTTTTGTTTGACACAAAGGAACTTACTTTTTTTCCCTCCCGAGGAGAAACTATGGCGAGACTTGCGTCGAATATGCGTCTTGTTGTGTTTTTGATGGGATTATTTTTGCTGTGTTCTCCATCGGGAGGTGAGCCGGAGCCGCAGCAGGAGGAGGAGGAGGAGGAGGAGAGCTCCTGTCAGGGAGCATTTGACCTCTATTTCGTCCTCGATAAGTAAGTGGACACAATTTAATGTTCATGATGATGCACAACTCGGACACCAGCGCGTTACAGAGGCTTCCCCTGTGAAAGAAGTTAACAAAACACTGCGAACTATCAAACCAGCAGCCACGTTTACCTCGCAAGTTAAAGTTAAAGCTCTTTATTCGGTCTTTATTTGAATTGGAAGACAAAATGGCTGGTTCATGTTTTGGGGTAAAACATTTTTCAGCTTCTAACGTGATTGTTTAAATGCAGTGAGGTTGATTAGCATCTGTGCAGATGTGCTGACGTCATAAAGGAAGCTGACTCGCAGAGCACACTTTGCTGAACAAGCAAAAAATGAGGAGCCACTGGTTGGATGCAAGTAGCTCATAAACAATATCGATAATTATCGCAATGTGATTTTTATCGATAACAATAGGATTAAAGGTAACATCTGTATCAATATATCATCGTGCATAAGATCTACCTCAGATTTATAAGATGCTTTGCTGTTTATCAAGTCTTTGTCATTCTCTGCACATAAAGAAGAGTTTTAAACCACAGGAGCAAATCTGTTGGATTGTAGGGCTGGTAAATAAAAACAAGCAATATCAATACTCATTGCAACATAATTCTCATCAATCAACAGCTTCATTATTTATAGATATAATGCTTATGCATTTTTCAAGCTCAGTGAGGATGTTGAAAACATCACTGATCGATTTATTAAATTGGTTTGCTTCCACAAGAGAAAATGTGAAAGTATAAAATATAATACAACAATATAAAATCGTAAAACTTCATTAAAATACAATCTGAGACCTAAATAATGTTTGCTGACAAATGTTTTCATGTCAAGGTAAGTGTAGGAGGAAGTAAACTGTATTTGTCATTATGTATGTATATCAGTACGAAACTGATCCATCTGGTTCTCAAAAATCAAAACCCCATCTTCCTCTTTTCTCAATCTCGAGTAAAGAAAAAACATTCAGTTTTTCCAAAGAAATGGGACTTCTTCACTGAAGGGACTTTTTTTCTTTCCAGCTCTTTACTTAGTGACCGCTCACCGTGCGCTCGCTCATTTCCACTCCCTGTACGCCCACATTGGAAAAATGTTGTGGTTATGTGACATCTTAGTGCTGGACTTCAGCAGCTGGGCTTAGGCTGCCGGGGAGAAGATAAAATGTAAGAGAAACTTCTGCAGGGCCTGTTATTTCCCCAGTGCATTTACAGTATAGCTTATATTCAATATCATATTCAAACTGCCTGTTTTTAAACTTTAGATTATTTGCCTTGAATTTAAAGTATATTGTTGTATCAGCTCCTCTCATTCCTCCTCCTGCATTTATGGAGCAATACCAGGAATTGGGAGGTGGAACAAGAAAGGACGGGAAGCAACAACATTAATGGGAAATGTGGTCTTAATTTGGCGGTGGTAAAAATGTTGTGCACAGCACCTTTAAAAGTTTTGTGGCCTGATTAGAAGTTTTATGCATATTCGAAAAATGAGTGACTCGTACAACAGCTTTAATGTTATTGGTTGTCGGGCCAAAGGGTTGTTTTCACTGATGGGCCCTCAATTAGGATTCTACATGACATGTTCAAGAGCAGAGTGTGATTATGACATCAAGCCAACATGTTGATTTTGCAAAGCTGTCGTGCTGCTGTGAAAACTCCAATAGGATATCATAATGTGAAATGTGAAAATGAGGTTGTATACACGTCTACATAGTGCAACTTAAGTTGGGAAATGTTGCACGGTCCTTAGATTTTTGCTTATACGACCTTATTCAGGTTATTGTAATAAGAGAATGCTATTTACATGGCAGTGTCTTATTCAGCCTAACAACTAAATCTAATATCAGATATAAAGATAATCACTGTAAAATCGTTGCTTTACCCACTGAACTTAAAGAGAACCTGTGTAATGTTTCCTTCTCGCCATTCAATTCCTTTGTCGAAAAGGGACTCAAACATGGTGGGACTGCAGCCCAGATGTGAAAGGCTGCTTTTGACTTGTGCTCATGTGGTAAACACTGACACATGCTGCAAATAAGGAAACTAATTATATTTTTTTAGTGTCTGATGCTATTGTTAGCTCTCCTGTGAGCTCTGGTGCCCACTCTGAGGGTGACTAACAAGGTTCAGATATTAGTTGTGGACTTCAAACAGAGCGAAGCTCATTAGAGACCAACTCCAGCCGCCCCTCTACCCCATCCCTCAGGCCTGTGCTGGTTTTATGAGACACATTCTGAACTCTATTGATCAATATAGAAGGCGTAAAGATCAATGTGAGGAGGTTATAGCAGGCGGAGAAGCAGAGAACACAGGATACTAAAATGTTGAAAGGTTTAAACCAGCCTTTCATGTCCATAACTTTGGGGAATTTTTGAACCTTAAGCTGACTTAAGCTAAACTTAAAATTTCTATATTTCTATTTACTTAACACAAAACACACAGCAGAGGTTCTGCCAACTTGCACCAAAGAGTTTGTGCGATAGCGACCAGATACACACGCTTCACCAAGTCAATCCAAGCTGTTAATCATGGCATTTTGCCCCATTTTTATAGCATCAAATAACTAATCAAAACCCAACTTACCAGAAACCTAAGCACTTGAACATACTGTACATCAGTGTGACAAGAACTACCTAAAATGACAGCTAGTCAATCTCACCCATCTTTGGAAAAAATATCTTTGAGAAAATTTTATTTGATGTATATTTGGACTTTTTTGTTTTGTATATGTGCCACCTGCTAACGTGGAGGAGACAATGTTCATGACCTATTATGTAGCCAGCCACAAGGGGGGCAATCAAGGCTGTAATATCAATCCAAAGAAAATTAAAACATCCTTTAGCCATTATGCTCCTGTGTCCACCACTGGAATCAGATGCCCTTGCAGATAACATATGCTTTTAATGCATCAGTTTTATGATACTTTTTCTGTCTTAAATTGGTTTTACATTTGTTTTTTTGTTTTTATTCTGTTTTTTATTAAACCTGTATTTTTTTAGTTTTATTTAATTTTAACATGATAAGAGGCCTTATGATTAAACATGCCTTGCCTCAGAATGGGTGACTTGCTTTGGGCACTGTGTAGATGGTCTTAACTTTTACAGTTAGGAGGAGAGTTAACTGCTGAGTTGGCTCATAAACTTGACTCCAGAGACATTTATTGCAAACTCAGGCAGATGATGTCACGTCATGACTCAAGCATGTAGGACAGTGATCTCTGAGACATACAGGCGGCTGCAGTCTGAAGCATATAGAGGGTAGTGACGGAAGGTTGCCAGGTTGAATCTGGGACAGCTGTTACTGAGCTTGGAAAATATGGGATTTAGCAAGACATTATCCCTAACTGCGAAGTGGTGTGTGTAACTTAAATTGTTCATGATATATACATAATGGAAAGCAGGGTTGTTCCATTACAAGCTAGACATTGTAGGCAGAGATATGTCAACAATGATGTGACAGAAGTAAAATGTTGAAACCAGCTCTTGCGAACAGGAGATTGATAAAACATCTGGTGGTCAAAATGAAAAGACACAATATAATAAATGCAACGATACAACTTTGTAGATTTTAGGAGAAGAGCATGAAAATAAAAGTTTAAAAATAATGTGTGAATTATATAAAATGTAGGAACATATGGACCAGAGTCACACCTTGCCACCAGCTGTTTACCTGACATCCTATTTCTGTGTTGTGTTGGGTATATGGCTGTAATTAGATGCACTGAGAAATTAACTGGTTTCACTTCTGTAACAGTGACAAGAAGACAAAACAGTCATTCTGTTAGCAGTGGTGTTCTGGGTAAATCTCACAATTTGGATTTTTGGGCTATGATTTCTATATTATATGCCCCAGTGGCCTAATGGATAAGGCACTGGCCTCCTAAGCCAGGGATTGTGGGTTCGAGTCCCATCTGGGGTGTTAATCAGCAGAGTGGCGCAGCGGAAGCGTGCTGGGCCCATAACCCAGAGGTCGATAGATCGAAACTATCCTCTGCTATTTTGTATGGAATTTGCCCTATGGGGGATCAATAGAAGTACATCTTACATCATAAGTAATCAACATCAATCAATATAGTTTAGACCGTTATCATGCTATGCTAATTAGTAACTATAATTAGTGTTAACTATGGGCCATAGCTTGTGCTAAAGCAGTTTGTTTAACCAAATACTGGTAATAGAGGAAGAGTCAGGATCAGCAAAGAGGTGTTGTAATCCATTAAATAAAAGTTGAAAACAAAATCTAAACTTGCATCAGACTGCATTCTAAAGTGACTGTCCTCTGTTCAGGTATTTCCTCCTTGGACAGCAAGGCGTCAGGTAAAATGGGTGTTCGCGCAGTGGTCTACTACATGGTGACCACCCTGATCGCTGTGTTCATTGGCATCGTCATTGTGATGATCATCCGGCCGGGCAAAGGCAGCAGAGACAGTCCTGTGCCAAAAAGCGGAAACATTGAACCTATTCAGGCTGCTGATGCTTTTCTGGATCTCATCAGGTAATAACAGTATGGAAACTTCACTGATTTGTGAAATTGCACAGGAGCTGCTACTTTATCAAGCTGTTTTGAAAGTTTCCACATGGAATCAAGATTGTAGTAATAGTCTGTTATATTTAGAAATGCAGAGACTTACATGAAAATATCGATACAACTCTCATATCCACACTAAGCATGAAGCTACTGTCAATAGCCAGTTAGTTTAGGTTTGCAACACCACAAATCAAACATAGTACTTTTTTTCATTCAGAAAAGGAAATATAATAGANCAAATAATATTTCAGTCTAGACCAAAGTGGTGAACTGACCAACAAACAGACCAATGGACTGCTGTAGACATGTACATACAGCCAAACTCTAACAGCTGCTTTTCCAACTTGGACTACACACTGACACATGACAGCTGCACAATTCAGGAATTTTGTATAAATTTCAGAGTTGATGTATACTGGAACCATAACCCTAAAATAGATTGCCCTATTTTGTTATGTGTGTACATACCAGGATGTTTTCATACG